GTAGAAGTGTAGGTATCTTTAAGATTATCAGTGACTCCTACAGTGACTGCCTTCCCTTCACCCCCTCCACCCTTCCCTATTTCCAAAGTTTGTTTCCATTTTTTCATCTTCTCCTATTTTTTCCTTTCCCTTCTTTCCTTTCCCCTAGCCTTCTCCCTTCCCTTACTCCTTTTAGCCCTTTTCTTCCTACTTCACATTATCAATTACACAATTTGAACCTTATTTGCACTTTTAGTTTTTCACACTAGAGAAACTATTCAGTATTTACACATATGTATCCTATTTATTTCACTTAAGAGTATGGCCTCGATATGCATCCATTTAGCTGTAATGATTCTAGTTTCTCATTCTTTATGGCTGAGTAGTACTCCATTTTATAAAAAAAAACACTTCTTCTTTATCCAATCTCCAGCTGATGAGCACTTGGGCTGTTTCCAAATTTTAACTGTTGTAAGCTGTGCTGCTATAAATATGGGTGCACCTATATTGCTGTGCTGATTCTTTTAATTCTTTTGGAAAGATAACCAGCAGGGGAGTAGCTGCATCAAATGGGACTTCTTATGCTGGTTGTTTAAGGTTTCTCCATATTGATTCCCACAGTGGTTGCACCAGTCTGCACTCCCCACAACCCCGCCAGCATTTGTTATTGGTTGATTGCGTGATAGCAACCATTCTTTCTTGGGTGAGATACAGAAACAACTCCAGATTTATTTAGCAACCTCATCTTTGACAAAGGAGCCAACCATCCTCAGTGGAGGAAAGATAGCCTCTTCAATAAGTTATATTAGAAAAACTGGATTTCAGCCTGCCAAAGATTAAAACTAGACCCTTATCTTTTACCATGCACTAAACTAAAATCCAAGTGGATTAAAGGTCTTAATATTAAAACAGAAACACTAAACTTGCTGGGGGATAGGTAGAACTCTCGCAGACAGTGGCATAGGAAAAGACTTTATGAACAAATCCTCAGTAGCATGGGAACCAGCACAAAGAATTAACAGTTGGGATCTCATCTTATTAAAAAGCTTTTACACTTCAAGGGAAACCACCAACAGAGCTAAGAGACAGCCTACAATGTGGGAAAAAATTTTTACCAGCTGCTCCTCAGACAAAGGTCTACTATCTAGAATATATAAAGAACTAAAAAAAATTAGACTCCCAAATACAAAGATCTGATTCAAAAATGCACATCAGAAATGAACAGGTACTTATCAAACAAAGAAGTAAAAGCAGCAAATAGGTATATGAAAAAATGTTCAACATCACTGGTCATTCGAGAGATGCAGATGAATGCATATACTATTAACTGTTTTTTCTTTTCTCTATTTAAGAATGTATCTTATTTACCATGACTGAGTACTCTATATATTATAGTTTTGCAGATACACATGGTAAATGACTCTTACTTTCAAGTTTATTGGATATAAAGAAAGGTAATAGGATACAGTGACTGTCATTAGGTTATCTGACTATTTTAAGAAAGTAATCGCTAAAGCTTTTCAAAATCTAGAGGTTACGAGATTCTTTTTTTTCTTAATGTTTTTCCTTGGTTTTCTTTGCCTCCTTTCATCTCTGTAATCAGTGTGATCCTCATTCCCCCACCTGTTTATCAGGAGATGAGAAAAAGAGTAAAGGAGAGGGGGCTTGAAGAGTAGTGGATATATGAAAATAGCATTTCTTACTCTGAGTTCTTACTCTGTACCACATACTGTACTGGATCTGATTACTTCTATCTGTTTATATGTATGTATATATTTATCTATATATCACTGAATGTTATCTTACTTTTTAGTTCTGCACAATTGCCTATATTTTGTATAGGGCTTTGAGATTTTATGTAACTTGTCTTTAGTGCAAGTTCCTGACTTGCTGCTTAGTCCTTTGTAAATGAATAAAGAAATATATTCTCAAATAGAGAAAACAAAAAAAAACCCCAGTTGTTTTGCTTAATTGTTAGAAGGGATAAAAACGTCAGCCTTTTCAGGGAAGGAGTCTTATTTAGTTCTGTGTGTTAGCTTTTGTTATAAGGGGTTTTTATTAGCTTGAGGACATATTAAACATATTTATATAACTAATCATTACCAGATCTCATTAATTTAGATAGTGGTCAGTTGAAGTTTGCCTTTACCTTGTATTTTCAAAAGGCTATCTTTACAACTTGATTGTTTTGCTTGATTTTTAAAAACCAAGTGGGCATATTTGTATGTGTCTCTTTGTGGGTCTCTGTACTGTTCCTTTTCCAATACTCAGGAAAAAAATAAGGAAAATTATATGTCAGGGTTTCCCAAGACAATCTCATATTTGGAAATTTGTTAAAAGGACTCATGGAACAAAGTGAATAATTGTACTCAACATTAAGACTTAATACAGTGAGATGAACTATATCTATCTGTATTCATATTATTAGAGAAAGGACAAAGGTAGACGCTGGAGGAATATATTTTCAGGTTTCTTTATGCTATCTCCTTTTCAAGAAGGGTCATATGTAGTGCACTCATCTCCCAACAATGAAAATATAAAAACTTTTGTGTAATGTTGCTGCCCAGGGAAGGTTATGAAGGATTAATTTCTCAAGAATTTTATTCAGGGCTATAAGAACCTCTGCCCTAGCATATACCAAAACTCCAGACACCAAGCACATAAACAGGTGTTCAGCATTTTATTCATCAGATTTTCTGATGCTGGACAAAGTGCTCAACACCAACAATTTAAAGGATAGAGGTTTATTTTGGCTCATAGTTTCTGTGAATTCAGTCCATGGTCAGCTGGCTCCAAGGTAGAACTGACTTGGTAGAACAGCCTGGCAGAGGAAAGCTGCTTGCATCATGGTGGTTGAAAGCAGAGAGAGAAGGAAGGAGCCAGGTATTAGAATACACTCTTCAGATCACCTCTCTACTGACTGACCTCCACCCAGGCCCCACTTCCTAATAGGAAGTAAGCTGTGAATTTACCAGCGCACTGACAGGTATAATGCTCTCATGATCCTGGCACCTTCCAATCACATGAGACTTTTTTTTTTCAGCTTTAATTGAGTTTATTGGTACATTTTAGGGATACAGTACAGTTACATTCATTGTTGGGATCTTGTACCTCTACATGACAAGTCTTGATTCTCATTTTTTTCCCCTTACCCCTACCCTTCCTTCACCCCCTCCTCCCCTACCCATCTACAAACACATGAGACTTTTGAGGGATATTTTAGATCTAAACCATAACATTCATCCCCTAGCTCCCAGAAGACTCATGTTTATATCCTTATATAAAATGCCTTTAGTCCATCACTCAGAGTTACTGAAGTCTTAATGGTTTCATCAATGTTAAAAGTCCAAATCCAGAGTCTCCTCTCAGACTCAGGGCAAACTGTTAGCTGTGAGTTTCTGCAAAAACTCAAAAAGAAAGTTAAATATTTGTAACATCCAAAGGTACAGGGTAAACATTCCCAATCCAGAGAAGTGGAATAAAAGGAGAGAAGGGAATTGGACCAAAGCAAGACCAAAACCCAGCAGGGAAAACATTCATTCCGTGTCTAGCATGTGGTTTAGGTCTAGGGAGCTTGAAGAGCCCTGCCTCTATAGTCTTCCTGTTTTTAGTGTACATGGCCTCTGTTTTGGACCAGCTGTTCTTACTGCCCATGGCTTTCCTTGGCAGACATTCTGTGTTCTTTGGAATCTGCAACTTCTGGGGTCTCCAGTGTACCTTTGGCTTCACTCTCATAGCTTTACACATTGCTCTGTCCAGGGCTTCTTGTCTGCTCTTCAAGGCCTTCTGAAAGCTGGGAAGAAGCCTCCAAACATCATTTGCTATTGTATTTGTTGTGCATGTCCTACTAAATCATATGGATGATGCCAAGGTCTGATGCCAGGTTGAACAATAGATCCAAGGACCACAGCTCCTGTGGCATCTGAGTGCCTGGATGGCTCGATTCTGGATGGGTAGACTCAGAGAAATACTTCCATAGGCTGCTGTGGATGAACAGGGTGCCCTGAAGCTCTTGTCTCAAAATAATCTTTTAAAGGAGTTTACCCTTTTCTAACCTTGAGCTTGTGATAGGTAGAATCTGGCCAATTTCTGAGATGCCTTTAAGTTACCTTTCCTACTGCCCTGATGCAAAGTATGTTTTATGATTTCTTTTCAATGCTGATATTTTCAGCAATCCCACTCTCCTTTGCTGCAACTTTTTGCTCCTTATTTGCACTATAAATCTGGCTGAAAGCAGCCAGAAGTATCCATGCCATAGCTTGACTGTTGGGCTGCCTCAAAATTTCCACCATCCTCTTAATTTGTCCTTCATTTTAAAATTCAGCATCACACAAAATCTTAGGACATTGGCAAAAGTGATGAAAAATTACAGACACCAAAATTCAGAAAATGTTTGTTTCACACAAGTGCACTGTGTACATTTGTTACAACACATGACATAGTGAATTATGAAGATTTCTATTAGACACAACCACATTTGTTCATTGTCAAGCACACACATTATTCATGCATTGTGTATGTACTGCAACTGGTCATTCATCAATAAGTCTTGCATTCTTCTGTTTACACAGGCATTTACCTCTAGTCCAAATGTGCCTGTTTGGGTATTTACAAATATTTAATTATAATTTATATTGTCATTTATTTTAAATATTAATGAAAAGAGCTAAAGGTGTAGGGAAAGTGGGAAGGGTAGGGGAAAGGGAATAAGGGAAAAATATGAGAATATGAAAAAATGGAAATAAAGTGTTTATAAATGGGGAGGGGAGGAGGGGGCGAAGGGAGGGCAGTGACAAGGGGAAAAAATGAGAACCAAGACCTGTCATGTAAAGGTACAAGATTCCAGTAATGAATGTAACTGTACTGTATACTTAAAATGTACCAATAAACTCAATAAAAAGGAAAAAATTGTCATTAATGGTATTTATATTTAATTATAAATGAATATTACTTTATAATTCAGTTTGTCTGTCGTGTGTTGCGTTTGGACATACTAAATGTGCCATTTGGTGTATGGTTAACTGAGGCTTATTTTTTGGGACCAAGCTTATAATGTGCATCCTGGAAAATGATGCAAGGGCTTATCTTCTAGTTAGGTCTTGTTTTTGGGGAAATGATGGTAGTAGTCACTGAGGTTGCACTTTCTTCAATTACATTGGAATTTAGTTCTTAAACATCAATCCATAGCTTATTTTTAAATAAAATTCTCAGTTCCTACCAGTAATTACTCATTTTTTGTTTTGGTCTTTTTAAGTTTCAACTTCAGAAGCGATTATGTTTTACCATATTTTTCAGTTCTGAAGCTTTCCTAATTTGTAATTTATGGTCTTGTACATACATATTACTAACTTACTTTGGTAGTGTCTGGCACAGTTCTTTTAAGATATTAACAAGTTATACACATAGAGTGTTTCTGGAAGCATTCCCGCTACCAGGATATGTTTTTCTTGTGGCTTTCGTGTGTACAGATTAGTTTGAAATTCCCACTGGGGGCAGTCTTCAAGTGATAGTTTTGTATGGAAGAGATGGGGAAATATCCTGTTCTTATGTTGGTAATATTGGTTAGGTTTTTGGACTCTCTCAATGAAATTCAGCCCTCGGTCTTTGTCATGACAGCCCTTCTGACTCAAACGCATGCCTCACAACACGTGTGCAGGTTGGGGCCTACGCTAGCGCCTCGATTTATTAAAATCTGACCCTTCGTTTATTACCTTTGGAATTTGAACTAAATTTTAGACTCTCATTCAGTCATTTTCATTCATTTTAGGCCCTGCACATGTTGTCCTAAGTGTCCATACTCTGTGAGTTAGATGATTTAGTTGTAAAAGGAAATGCATGCAATAGATTATAGTATATTTGAAAATATTTTGAATTTGGTTTCTGCTTCCAGACACTTTCTTTCATTTTCTTTAATGCTGATGTTTAATAACTATTTTGATAACTTAAAATGCTTATTTTCATATTATGATTCTGAAGAATTCCTAAGAGTAATATTAAAGGAAACAAAAGCTTAATGCAGAAATACATAGTGTCCATTAATGTCTTTACTTCTTAAAGAAGTTGAAATAATTTATATTTAATTTATTCTCTTTTAGTATTGTGCTTCTACTAAGCCAAAAACAGACACTTGAAGAGTTGAAACAATCAGTCCAGCAACTGAGATGTACTGAGGCAAAGTTTGCAGCACAGAAAGAATTATTAGAGCAAAAAGTTCAAGAAAATGATGGAAAAGAGCCACCTCCTGTAGTAAATTATGAAGAAGATGCACGATCTGTTACATCTATGGTAAGATAAAGAGTAATCCAATGAGAAACTTGAAAGAGTAGTGTCTAGGTTACTAGTGAATACAAAAATAAATTTTGGTTTGCTATAACAAATTATCACTCTTGTTAAATGCAGGTCCTAATAAACTTGTTTGTAAATGCAAAATAGACTTGTCAGTCACCTCAGGTCACCTGGAGAGCACTTTAAGGAACCACCTGTAGAGTCAGAGGAAAAAAAAGCTCTTCTCTTGCCTTCAAAACTGAAAAGAAAGACTGCAGTTGTTTTTATTCCTGGGAAACAGCAGGAAGGTAGGGTGTTATTCTTAAGATAGAAGTAAGACATAAGGAGAAAGCTATTTAATTTTTTTTTTCATTTTTAAGAACAATAGACTCTGATCTTAGATTGATGGTGTATTTTATTGTTTTCATCATACAAAGTATTGATTTAGTTTTAAAACGATATTTTGCTCATAAATAAGATCCTTAGAACATTCAAAATCACCAACTGAAAATTAATTTTTTATAGTTTTATTAGCTGTTTAAGAATGCCTAGTATAAGTCCTTTTTTCTTCCTTTCCTTCCTCCCTTTCTCCTTGTTTCTCTTTGTATGTTGATGATTCTCATTAAGCAGTAATTTTGCCCAACCCAACAGGGGACATTTGGCAATGTCTCCTATTGCCCCTGGGTAGATCCGTACAGAGACTGCTAAACATTGTCCAGTGCATAGAACAGCTCTTCCATCACATCCACCCTGAAAGACTCTCAAAACCCCATGTCAGTAATGCCATGATGGAGAAGGTCTATTTCCTGTTGCTTGCTGAATGTACTCTGTAGATAGAAATATTATGGTTAATGAATTTATAATTGATGTTTCATTAATTTTTAGTTAATGTAGTTCTAAGTAGTATAATTTGATTATTAAATAGACGTAGATGTCTCCCTGGGGGAAGAAAAAGTCTGTACTATATGTGAAACTGTAATAAATGTGGAAATGGCTATGAAGTATTAAATATTGTAGTTATTGCCTCTTTCTATTATCAGTTGAGCTATACTAATCAACACATCACTTTGTGAATTCTAATTTCTTGCTCTCCAGCACCGTACTTCCCATAAGGATTTCAGTAAATGTGAAATATACGAAGGACTTTGTTAGATTTCCTCCCCTCCCCCTCTTTCTTTTTTCTTTCTTCTTTCCTTCCTTCCTTCCTTCCTTCCTTCCTTCCTTCCTTCCTTCCTTCCTTCCTTCCTTCCTTCCTTCCTTCCTTCCTTCCTTCCTTCCTTCCTTCCTTCCTTCCTTCCTTCCTTCCTTCCTTCCTTCCTTCCTTCCTTCCTTCCTTCCTTCCTTCCTTCCTTCCTTCCTTCCTTCCTTCCTTCCTTCCTTCCTTCCTTCCTTCCTTCCTTCCTTCCTTCCTTCCTTCCTTCCTTCCTTCCTTCCTTCCTTCCTTCCTTCCTTCCTTCCTTCCTTCCTTCCTTCCTTCCTTCCTTCCTTCCTTCCTTCCTTCCTTCCTTCCTTCCTTCCTTCCTTCCTTCCTTCCTTCCTTCCTTCCTTCCTTCCTTCCTTCCTTCCTTCCTTCCTTCCTTCCTTCCTTCCTTCCTTCCTTCCTTCCTTCCTTCCTTCCTTCCTTCCTTCCTTCCTTCCTTCCTTCCTTCCTTCCTTCCTTCCTTCCTTCCTTCCTTCCTTCCTTCCTTCCTTCCTTCCTTCCTTCCTTCCTTCCTTCCTTCCTTCCTTCCTTCCTTCCTTCCTTCCTTCCTTCCTTCCTTCCTTCCTTCCTTCCTTCCCTTTCTTTCATCAGGGATTGAACCCAGGGATGCTGTACCACTGAGGTACATCACAACTCTTTTTATTTTTTATTTTGAGACAGGTTCCCCAGGTTGGCCTTGAGCCTGCAATCCTCCTGCCTCATCTTTTTGAGTAGTCAAGATTACAAGAGTATGCCATAGCACGTAGTGTTTTATCATTCTTGCTATCTGGGATATGCGTTTTTTTGTAGAAGCATCAAGTTTTCCTTTTCTACTTGGCTTTTGAAAACCTTAAATCTTTCATTTTCTCAGGATGCTTTATAAAATATTCCCATGTTTCCATGTAGGTGTGGAATTGGTTAGTTAATTACTTTATTTAATAGCAGATTGGCTAACAATGGCTAATTTGATTTTTATGTGCAGATAACCCCTGTGGGCAGTGCCATGATAGAATAAAGGATAGTTATTCAAATTGCTAGATAATCGCTTTTGATAGTGGTGATTAAAAACATGGCTTTTAAATCTTTTTCAGATCATTTTATTTATTAGTACATTTGAGGAGTACGTAATATTTACATTCCTTATGAGGAATTCGTGCATGTATATACCACATCTTAATTCCTTTTTTCATTCCCTGTTCCTCCCTTCCCTCTCCCCACTTATCTTGTGATCCCTTCCTTGTTTTTGTACATTTGCTGTACATAATGTTTACATTCCAGTACTTAATTCTTACTAAGAATTTGTGATCATGTGGAGTTTAATCTTTCATAATTATTGAGTAAAGGTTTGATCACCATATAAATTGAATAAACTATTTCAGAAATACTGTATAATAAAGCTTAAAAGAATAAACTGCCTTTTGGGACTTTCAAGCTTTTCTTTTGTACCATTTTATTAAGTGGTGGTAATACCTTGTTCATTTTTGCAAAGTAATGTTACATATTTAATTTTATCTAGTTTATTTTGAATAACTGAAATAGGTACTACAAATGCATCTTATCAATTGAAACAAGGCCTTTAGTAAGTCTTGAATAAAAATTAAAATTTAATAAGTTGTTAAATTTACCAATTTTACAATGAATACCATATGTTGTTTAAAGTAGTGAATTAGTATTTTATAAATTATCTATGGTCCCCCCCAAACTGTTACCAATTGATGATATTTTACACTTGCAAAGAATGGATAAATAACATTCAGAAAGTAACATCTAAACAAAGCCTTGAAACAGGTTGCTACTGTGTCACTTTGATATCTGGAGAAAGAGCCTTCCTTTCACTGGGTGCATTCACTACAAAAAAATTGTAGGGCATGTCTAGAGTGTGTCATGTACAGCAAGGAGGAGTGAGTGGAGGAAGAGTTGAGTATAGGAAGTGTGATTAGACAAGAAATGAAGAATGGATCTTGGAGCCTTGTGGACCACAATTAAAGATTATGTCTTTTCTCTGAAATAGAGTGTTAGTGCTTTGGAGTGTTATAGCAGAGTAATAATATGCTATGACTTTGCATTTAAAAAGAGCAAGGATGGAAGAATGAGACTATGGAAATAACACAGATGCTAAATAGGTTCAGAAGTATTTAACTTCAGGATGTTTCAAGCTGGGCCCAAGAGAAGGAAAAGAGAAGAACTGTATATAGTAGGCAAAGGAAAAATTTAAGGGCCTTTTCTGCAAAGATGTTCAAAAATAGAGCAATAAATTTGGGAATGTTGATTATTTAAAAAAGAATTTTATCATATCTGAATGTTGAAGGTGTTAATTCAGTAGGAAGGCAAAAATTAAACATTGTGAAGAAGAAGGGGATAATTACTAGAATAAATTGCTTAAGTATGTGAGACATGATGGCATATAGAGTACTCAGTGGATTTGCTTTAATATTTGTATAATCTTTGATAGGCAGAATGGTAGTTCTTAATAGGTGGGTGATTATGGTGGTGATAAGGGTACTGGAATATTCTCTTTTGATTTCTTTGTATTCTCAGTGAAGTAGAAGTCAGGGTGATTGACAGTGAAGGTGCATGAAGAGGTATTAGATGTTTAAAGAACAGATGAAGGGCTGAAAGAGTCTCCTAGGAGAATGGGAAAATGAATAGACTAGGACAATATCCTGTGATTGCTGAGTAATAACTGCTGGGCCAGTTAAGGATATGGTTGTATTCAAGATAACCAGGAATATATGGTGGGGCTTTTCAGTATTGGGATCTCAAATTGAAGGCAGAACTTGTCAGCATGGTTGTATTTTTCTAACAGGTGTGTTGAGCCACACTGGCAGGATGTGAAGTAGGCTAGAGAAGGCAGAACTTGCCTTCTGGAAGTGCTGTTGCGTGTTTAAGGCTGTGTTTTTGCTATATATGTTTGATGAATGAAGTCAGGGGCAGAGGAGCAAAGGTACAGGCAAGAACGTGATTGTAATGATTGACTAAAGAACTTAGGGTATGTAAGGAAAAACACCAAGAGGGGAGTGGTAATTTTAAATAGAACAGTGAGTTCATAGGAGGCCCAGAGTGGTCTGAAGAAAATTATAAACACTTAAGTGTAAAACCCTGAATGTCAATGTTTATCTTCCAAATGTTAACTTAGAATTTAAGAAAAAAAATGCTTTTGGAAGAAATGTTGTTAAACTATAGCATGATAGCTTAGGTAATTGAATCTTACACTTTTTTAATTCACTGTTATTTATTTTCATTAAGGACTTTATTAACAGGATCAATGATAAAGTGAAATACCTTTAATGATATACTTCTGAGGGTATATAATGACTATTAATCATTTCCTGTCTACCACAATAAAAACTTGCAATTTTATAAATCTTAAAATTATTTAAAAATAATTTTTATTTGAGAGTATTTTTAACACTTAATGCAAACATTAAGAAATTTTGTCTTTTGAGTATAATGCTTCTAGATTACTGAAGGAGACTAAATTCATTTTAACTTTAGCAGTACTTTATTTATTTATTTATTTATTGGTACCGGGGATTGAACTCAGGTCTTTGCGTTTGTAAGGCAGGCCTCCAAACCGCTGAGCTAAATCCCCAGCCCAGCAGTACTTTATTAAAAAAGAGGAAATGAATGATAAAAATATATATCTTTAGTGCATTTAGAGAAGATATTTTTAAGGCCATTAAAACTTCTAAAGGTTAGCCAAGTGTGGTACATACATGTAATCCCAGCACTCGGGAGGCTGAGCAGGAGTTTGAGGCCAACTTGGGCTACACAGTGAGTTCAAGGCCAGCCTGAACTACATAGCAAGACCCTGTCTCAAAAAAAGAAGTAAAATAAAATA